TCTTTTTTTTTTTTTTTTTTTTTAAGTCATTCATCATGTTGTGAGTTTACCCAATACGTATTCGAAGAGTAGCGGCTGCGAGTTCTCCCAAAAAAAATAATAATAATAAAATAAAATAAAATAAATGCTTGATGTCTTTCTTTAAGGTACATCTGTTGGTCCTCAAATCAGTCTATTTCTATAATTAATAAATATTTGTCTGCTAATTAAACGAATAATTATCGGAAAACACGGACGGTAGACATTTCCATTGTTGAAAAGTATGAGATTATACTGTTCATGAAATTGATTTGTTGCTTTAATGTTTTTAGAAAAAACTTGCATATCATTGATAATAACGTTGGGTATTAATTTTGACCTACTGCAGATGGATGATTGGAAAATTAATCAACGAAGTGGAACATGAGGATTTTTGTAGTCAATCCTAAATTTATTCATAACGCCTAAGTCTTAACTGCGCCTGTCTAAAGAAACTCCTTTCAAAGTATCTGGACTTTTGTGTCAGATTTGGCGGGTGTATTCTCTTTGTTGTTTTCGGGCCGTTTTCAGTTTTCGATTTTTCAAAATGGTGAAAAAACGTTCTCTTTTCCGTTTTCGAAAATTCACAAAACGACATTTTGAGTGTTTTCAATACAAAACTGAAAAAAATTGAAAACACGGAAAATGGTTTCAAAATGGCAAAAAGAACGCATTTTCAACAATTTCAAAACGGTTATTCAAAACACAAAATCCAAAATGAATTTAAAACTCAAAATTACAAAATTGAAATACGAAGAGAACAGTCCCTTATTTGCTGACAATGGATCTTCATTTTGCAGAAGTATCAGTGACTTTACTCTCCTCAGGTTCTATGTAGTGAAGTTATCATAATGTTTTCATTAGTTAATTGACGTGCAAAGTTAAGCTTCCTTGGTTTCCTGATCTAAATGGAATGAGTCATTTCCAGTAGTTAAGCCCGTCTATCCCGACAAAGAGGTACGTACCCTCGCGCCTACGAAATCCAATCCAACTGTGGACATAAGCACGACAGAGATTGATCCTCGAGTGTAAATACAGAAGGGAGCTCGTCTGCAAGACTTGTTAGGATCTCCATTTTTTTTTTTAAAACTTTTTTGTCAGAATTTTCTTCAAATAAACCAAGATTGATAACTTATAGACAAAAACAAATTAATAAAACAAAGTATTATAAAAGTAAAACGTGAATTATAACAAATTCATCGTTTCTTTAATTTGACTAGTCCCACAAATATTAAGAAATTTCTTCCAAAGATAAACATTAATTTACAAATGAAATCTTTTATTGGTAAACTCCATTTATTTTGTGATTTTAAAGATAAATAATTTCCTACCTCTTTGGAAAATGATGTAGCAACTTTTCAATTCCTGTTAAGAAGTTCTTCAATCATTTGCAATGCAATTCTTTCTTCTTCATCTATGCCATCTCGAGTTTTGATCTCCATCGGCGTGGAATCCTCCGGCGCCAACGCCACCTCGGCCAGTTGCGATGGTGGCTGATCTTTTTTCTTGTCAAGCTCAACAGTCATCACCCAATTCGAATCCGACCGCGCCCCGGCCTGCTTTTGCCATACTCCAATGTGGGAATTCTCAGTGTCCAACCTTAAACAAGTGAGAGAAGGAGATGGTGATTTACAACATTTTCGCAATTTTGCACTAAGAATTGTGGAGAGTGAATTTGCAGATGAAGTTGTCGATGATGATGATGAAGAAATATTATCGTTTGCATCCTGGCTAGCCACAAGAGGGAAATTTGTTTTGGCATTCCGGCCACTCATCAAAATCGCCGCCTCGTCGTAGGCTTTCGCAGCCTCCTCCGCCGTCTCAAACGTCCCTAACCACACCCTCCTCTTCCTGAAAAACACCCAACAAAATCAAATCCATTACCACATAAACAAACTTTCAAAACAATTTGAGATTAGTCTACATGCAAAAATATAAACAGCAAAAAAGCGACTTTTAAATACGGTCAAGCAGGTGATCACACAATAAAGGGTGACGAATCTCGGAGACCCAAGAACCCCAGTGACGTTGCCTGACGCCTCTGAACTTTTTGGATTGTACCATGTTTGTCAGAGAGAGATAAATAAGTCGTGAATTGCAATGAGCGGTGAATCAAGTAGAGAGAACAAGGAATTATATATGGGAAGAGGGTGGTGGAATACTGACTTTTCTACGTACTGTATTTGTACATGTACAATTTAAAGAATTTAACACAGAAAGGATCCCTTGTCGGCGGTGTTTCAAGCACTGCACAACAGCACAAGTCAGTCTAGAGTAAAAGCTTTGTAACCACCATGTGTCTACTCACATTTTTTTATTTCTCGACTTGGCCCTTCTTTGATCCCTTTTTAAAAAAATATATATTTTCCTCTATTTTCTTTTCAACACGTACTTTTCAATAAAATAACATTACACGTAAATTCAAATATTTTCCTTATTTTTAAATTACACTTTTTCCATCAATTTACCGTTTCAAAATACATTATAACCCAAAAAATGGGCCTCAAACATGCCAGCATTTCACCCTTGACAATTTAGATAAAATGTAATACAGATTTTGAAGGGAATTTGGTCTCACCTCTAGATAGTACAATGTAAAAGTTATATAAATTACACTTTGTTGGGACGCGTTATCCTCTTAGACATCATACTACAAGTACTATAATGTGTTTTTAGCCCCTTGGGATATAGTTCAGTGGTACAAAGGATAAGAGTGAGGATATCTCACGCTTTACTGGCAGCCGCAGTGTTGAGAGTCGATTCCTGAAACGTGGAATTAAACTCCTTGTGGGCGCAGTGTACAAACAGCTCTTGTTCCCTAGTCTGCCGAGACACATTCCGCGATTTACCTCCCTCACAAAACTCTAGAGGTGAGGTGGTGGGAGTTCTCAAGGTTGGGATTCAACCTTTTTTTTTTATAACGTGTTTTTAACTCGGTAGTTACTTTCAAACTCGTCATTGAAAGAGATATTATAAGTTTATTGTTGCACCCAAAGTTTGGAAAGTCTATATGATAAAATAGATAATACAAACAAGGATTATAAGAAATTTCACTTTTAACGATAGAGATTTTTTTGTTATATTTTAGTTATCTTGTCAAAGAATGGTCTATGAGAGACTTTAAAAGACAAAAGTTTAGATTGGTAAAAATGAAAATTTTTGTTGATTTCTTAATCATTAGAAGACTAAAAGTTAACATTCATTAATTCGTAGATTATCGAGAATACAACTATAAAACATTTGTTGTTGATTTTACAAGACAGTGAATAATTGAAAAATTATATCTCCTAAATTTTTTTAGAGAAATATCAATCAAATCAAATTAATTTAATATAATGATTCCGCAACGTTTCATGCCGTTCATTTCCCATTCAATGCAACTTAGCGTAGACACTTCAATATGTACATATTATGCGGGAGAAGCATTTGCTTAAGTGCACGTAGACGTAGATTAAGCTTTAGACATGTCATAGTAGAGGATCAAATGACGAGCCTCATAATTATAATAACTGACATATGATAATGAGGAGTATCATGAAGCTTTGTAATGGTGAAGTTTGTACTTCAAACAATAAGTATATCCACTTAAAAGTTCCAAAAATCGTCGAAGTTTGTAAAGAAAAGTGCACGCTAAATTCGTCTGGCTATTGGAATATCCATGTAATATTGAGAATGAGAACATATATATGATAAGTAAAATTCTATACGATGAAAATATGTATGTATGAAATGAACTCTTGAAATTAATTTTAATTTCTATGGTTTTGGACAAGCTCTAGATGACTTAAGGAAAACGTTCTATAACGGTAACTCAAGTCCATTCTCCATTAAAGTTTTGGTAGTACTCATAAACTTTTTTTGAAGCGTCATTGTCGTCCTATACTTAATTAAATGGCTCTTCCTTGTAGTCATAACGGAGCTATGAAATTTAGGCAGGAGGGCAAATATTCTTATTGTATTTTTTTGGAGAAACGAAACATATATGTATCGCGTATGTATTAAAATATAAAATCCTTCTTCACTCCATCTTTAGTCACAATTCGCTTAAAGATCTTTAGTCACGTCTTGTTGGCAGCCGCAGTGTGGGGGTTCGATTCCTGAGATATGGAATTGGACTCCTTGTAGGCGCAGTGTATAAGCAACTCTTGTTCCCTGGCCTGTTGGAGCACATCCCGTGATTTACCTTTCTCACAAAGCTCTAGGACGGGGTGGTGGGGCCCTCAAAGTTGAGGTTCAACCTTTATAATACGTGCTAAAATTACTTTTTTTAAAAATAAATTAATTAACACTTACTTTCTAAAGATGTAAATTTATGAAACGACTCGCGTTGCTGTGCTGTCTAGCCATTATACTCACCAACCCTGTATACCGACCCCGATTTACTGGTCTTCAAGAGAAAGTGACTAGTGACTTAACAAGACATGTCCCCAATTTGTAGTACTCAATTATCAATATTTATTACATTTCCTGTCATTGTAGGGTCTTGATTTAATTAATAAGTAGTACTAGCAAAGGAGCCCAGGCTGTTACTCCATGGTTAAGGATGTCAAATCACAAGATGTGAAATGTCGCATATGACAGTACAATGTATTATCTGGCTACATTTGGATTTCGTCATCTAGGAATTTTTTGAGTTTCGTCCAAAAATTTAAATTGTTTGAGAGTATATTTATTAAAATTGTCTAAAAATTTAAATTGTTTGAGAGTATATTGTTATTTATTCAAATTGTTAATTCTTTTTCTCTTACCGAAAGTTGGTGGTGGGACTTGTTTGCTCTCTAATGTAATGTTGAATCTTCTAATCTACCATCAACAAATTTAAGTCGATAGAAACAGTTTAAAATCATTTATTTGAATTAAGTCTTTGACGAAATGCACTCCTATTGTGACACAATTCTTTTAACATATAAATATTTATTGGCTACGTTTCTTTTATCCATACGTGATTTAAAAAAAAAAAAATTGGGTTTGAGTTTTCGAAAGTTATATACATTTAAATTTATTGTGAAATTCCAAACTATTATTTAGCACAAGATGAAACAAAATGATTATGAGAAAATCCTTTGAAGGAAAATATCATACATATTCGGGTTTAGTATTTCTGTAAATTAATCATATAAAATTTCAAGAAATAAAAGGGATGGTAAAGCCATAGGAACCTTTTGTTTGACAAGAAATTTGAAATATTTATATAGTAAAAATGACATCATTCTGATATTTCCAACTGGACTGCTTAAAATTTTAGAAAGGGATTGTACATCTTACCTCAATAAGTCTGGGGGATTTTAATATGGTCTATTGAAAATATGAATAATGTTATATGTAATTATTTACTATCGCAATCAATCCACGTGACATACATGTGGTGATTAGTGATTTGATATATAAGACAAGAAAAAACTACACAATAATACATCAAATCACAAACCGTCATGTGGAATATCACGTAGTACACCTAACGCAATGAGCAACTATGAATAGCATTATGCCTTGGAGATAAAAGGTTCCTAAATAGCTTCAAATTAATGAGAGCGGCTCAACCTTTCTACCCATCCTAGCATTACCCTATATCATATGGCATCAAAATCCAAGGCAAAAAAATCATTGACATCTTTTGTAAGGAGGGTTGCTGCATGTGTAGCACAATGTACAGCAGTTTTGACAGCCCTCTCACATATAAGGGGCGGAATCCGCAATTATTTTAATCGCGGACCTCACCTTTGTGAGACAACTGTACAAATTTATAGCATACAAAAGCTGTGCAAACAGCATTTCTCATTTTGTAAGATATTGACACTGTGTATAGAACATGCCCAGGAAGATAAAGGCTAGACTGAGACCAACCTAAGAAAATTGTGATGAGATGATAATTCTCTTCAAGCTCTAGCAAATTGCATGAAAATTTCATGCTAGTTCTAATATAATTTTGATTTTAGAGTTATATGCCTATGATTGATATTGATCATTGATGTATTAAATTTAGTCGATATTGATATTGATATATTGTATTAAATTTAGTCGATATTGATATTGATCATTGATGTATTAATTCAGTTAATGCTTTATCGCACAACACTCGTGATAACCAGTGGCGGAGCCAAGTTGAGACGAGTGCGGGCATATGCCCGCACTGAAATTTTACAAATTTTTTTTTTCTTTTTTTCTTTTTTTTTTTTTTATCAACAAGGGAGGGGGAATAAAAGCATGTTTTAATTCACATGGGCTTTGTTTTTAGGTCCAAACCCATGATTTTGTTTTATAGTTTTATCATCATTAAATTCATGACCAAAACACAATATTCGACATGGGTTAAATCAAGGGCGGACCTAGACCTTTAGTATTGTGGAGTCAAAATTTTAAAAATAATTTTTTTAATAAACAATATAATATCAATGAAAATAAGTTTATATGTATTTTGACAATTTTAAAACGTCGTATAATTACATCATTATTAATATTATTAAATAAATTTTGCTACTTATAAAGTTTTGTTTGTTATTTTATTGGCAAATGCTGAGCTAACATTGAGTAAATTAAATAGAATATAGAAATTAAATGAATTGAAATAAAATTCAAGTTTAATTCAGGAAGTAAATGAAATTCAAATTTAAAACAAATATAATTCGAAAGTAATTCAAATTGCATTTAATCCGTAACGATCCTAAAAAATTTACGTCATATTTCATATAAGACTTCCGAATGAAACGATATAAATTATATTGAAAAATTTATCGTGTAAAAATAATAATTAATTGAATTTTTTAAAAGAAAAAACGAGTTAGACATCTTTTTTGAGGCGTACTTTTGATACATATTTAACTATTTTCGATATCCGTTTGGACCATTCGATATAAAAACGATGTAGTTTTCGAAACAAACTTTTACATGGTATAGACGATTTGTGGATTCAGATAGCACATAATCGCAAACGAATTTTTAAAGTTAGGATATTATCGAAATTTTCAAAATACTAGTTTCAAACGCCCTATTTTAACATGTCATAACTTTTGCTATAATTGACCACTTCGAATGCCATTAATGAGTGAAAAATTAGGTCATGAACACTTTGAAATGATATTAAGAATGCAATATTTTGACTTCATTTGACATCTCGATGAGTGCATCAAAGTAGATTGTTAAAAAAAAAAAACAGGGGCAAAATTTTGTGGGGGTCATTTGACCCCACATTACTTCATGTGGGTCCGCCCCTGGGTTAAATTATGCCCGTACTGAAAATATTTCCTGGCTCCATCCCTGGTGATAAAAATATATAAAATAAGTTGTAAATGCACAAGTTTACAAAATATATACTCAAAGTACTTACCAAATATATGATTGTAAATACCCAATATTTTCTATTCAAATATTTACCGAATTATAATTTAAGAATTGCAGTATCTTCAGAAGAAAACTAAAAATGAAATCAACATTTATTTGATCAAAATTTAAGTGAGCACTAGTCCTGTACAATATTTAATGTAACATATAAAAAATATAAATAAAAATATTGAAATGCGTTTAGTACTTTGTATTTTATAAGGTATGAACGTATTAAGCACAGAGATGGATTTTTTTTTTAGGGGGGGGGGGGGGGGTATTTTTCTTTTCTTTTTTTTTAAATCAGTTTTTTATGTGTAAAAAAAAAAAATTCCCACGTAGTAGCCTGATTTAAAATTTTGTAACCCAGTCTTGAATTCAATTCTGGATCCACCCCTAATTAAGCACGAAAGACAGCTATTAATACCCTAATTAAGCACGAAAGACAGCTATTAATACGTCAAACCAAGCACCGCTAAAAAAAATAGGGACAAAAGTAAAAATTAGACTTGGAACTCGACACATTTGAAGAGTTGTAGGAAACTTACTACGACCTACAAAGTTGCCATTTCTGTAAAAACTATCATATGAAAATTCAAAAACATAATCTTCTTTTAAACTGTTAACACTTCAGAAGTTTAAGATTATAAGATGAAATCTCAATAATAAAAATAAATAAATAAATAAATTTATTCATAATAAATTATTTTTCATTTGACAATAAAAGATTGACGTGAAGATACTCAATAGAGCATAGCCCACGCGTAAACAAAGCACAGCTGAAGCTTAACTTCAGGGCCCCCACCATGCATAAATGACACTTAAGAATACAACTAACGTTGTGTTATACGGTGCATGCACCCCACCCCCAAGTTCTTGGACCATTCTATCATTTAATTCCATTTAAAAATAATAATAAAACTATAGGTACCAATTAAATAGACAAGTCATGTTCGAACTGAAGTCGGTGGAAATGATTGGGGGGAAATAGTGTGTGATATATTCATACAAACTTGAATATTCTTGCAATGTAATGGAATGTTAATAGTAATTTTTTTTCTTTCTTATGTTTGTTTTTGGATAAGACGTAATGAATTTCTGTATCGAATAAATTTAAAAAAAAAAGATTTATGTTGTCGACTTTTGATTATTGAAAATAATACCAATTATTTGTTGTTATTGATTAAAGGATTAACTTTGAAACATCGGTTGCAATGAACTAACTCATTCTATTCATTAGTTTACTTCGTCTAAAAATTGAACTCATAGAGAGTACATTTCCCTTGTATGTATATATATACATAATTTATTTTATTATAAGTCTAAATCGTACAAAAATTTCATAGATAGGTGACCACAAACTCAAACCCTTTCTATACTAATCCATCTAAACCAAGCTCATAACTTCAAACCGTTCAAAATAAGAGTGAATTGTCCAAATAGTCACTGAACTTTACAAAATGTTTTCAAGGGGCCACTGAATTTTAAAAATCACTTAAATAATCACGGAACTTTGTAAAAAGTTTTTACAAGATCACTGAACTTTAAAAACCACCTAAATAGTCACTGAACTTTGCAAAAGATTTCTCAGGAATCACTGAATTCAGTGACCTTGTAAAAACTTTTTGCAAAATTCAATGACCTCATGAAAATCTTTTATAAAATTTAGTGACCATTTAAGTTATTTTTAAAATTCAGTGACCCTTCAATAACCATTTATGTTATTTTTAAAATTCAGTAACCTCTTGAAAACTTTTTTCAAAGTTCAGTGAATATTTGGACAATTCACTCTTCAAAATAATTCATTAGAATAGTTTCCAATGTCTCCCATGGTAAAAGACGCAACATATCAATTGAAAAAATTCAATTACCAACATCCAATTTATCAACAAAAAAAAGTGGTGCTAAAATATTATTTCATGTTATGTAGGTGATTAAATTAAAATTTAAGTAAATCATATAGACTGTAAGTGTGTAATAACCCAATCCTGCAACATGAATTCATAAAAAGTACGTTCGACCAAAAATGATGAAAATACAATCACCTACCAAACATGTTTCCAATGATACTTGGACTCGATCCAAAAATTGATAACAAATTTACCATCTCTGTCGTTCCTTCTACATTTCTATCGGAACCTGCATGTGAGATCACGTGACTACTCTACTATGATCAGTAGTCGATAGTAGAGTAATCGACCATCATGCCGATTTTTTCACAAACGTATATACCTCCACACATATAAGGCATAGATAAATAATAATAATAAAAAAAATACCACATTAATTATCAATTTCAAAAATAGTAACAGCGGTTTTATTAGCTACTGCAGAACTATAATTACCATTCAATCATTCATATCACCAGAATCACGCAGCATGATGATTCAGAAATTCGGAATTTGCTAAAAGAAAGAGACGTTATAGTAATCTGTCAAGGTCTACAGGAGAGAGACAACAACAAAATGGATATTGGACTGGTAATTAGTACATGGAAACTCACTCATAATCAGACTCTCAAGCAATACATTTTCTCTTGCTTTCGTTTTCCTCTTCAGGAAGAAAAGTAAAAAAGATAAGGCACTGGAAGTGATATATGAACGGAAAATAGAATTTAATCAGAAGCAATATCGAACAATTCTTATTCATCTGATGACTAGGGAGAATTTTCAGGGGTCTTCAGAGGAACGACAGTGTTACCTCTATGCTCTGTGACAGCAGCTCGAAACTCTTCAACTATGGAGGCATCCTTAAATTTCAAAGCAAAAGTAGAAAGTCCGTCTTTTCCTTCACCGACAGTATTCACACAGGCAAAAGTTATTCCTTTCTTGTCCATATTAGTCAGCTTCATGTCTGGGAAGAGACCGGCATTCAAAATCAACCGATAATTTCCTCTGGCTCTCATAATCAATCTAGCTTTTCTTATCCCTGTTGTGGAGACATTGACCTTAAGTTCCCCCTTCCCTCGTTCCTTCCAAACTTCATCAATAAATTCAAACAGCACAGAATCAGCTGTGAAAACAACCTTCTCATTCTCTTCTCCTGTTTCAACAGGGACCTCCTGCATAGAAGAGAATGCATTTCCCCCACTGTTGTTTATATTTGGACCCGAGGTTCCAAAAATGGAAGAACTTCCATTACCAGAAGCACCAAAGCCAAAAGAAAGCAGGTCATTCTTCAACCCAAAATTGGAACCAGAACCTGGTGGAGATCCATCTTTAGGAATTGATCCAAAAGAGAATGTAGAACTGGAAAACCCCGTCCCTGTAAGTCCAGTGAAAGCATTTTGGCTACTAGAAAGTTGCTGAAATGAGCCGAAGGGTGAACTTTCTGCACCCCTTCCGATATTTTTATCACCACTACCATTTTCCTCTGTTTTCTCGGCTTCTGCATCTTTCCCTACTTCCTTCTCGGTGACGACGTTTTCTGTAGGTTTCTTGGCTTTGACAGTAGACTTCTCGCCTTCTTCTGCCTTCTCATCAGCAGAATTGCTTTTTTTTGGCTCACTGACATCATCAGTTTCACCCCCCTTCCCTGCATTTAATTCAGCTTTCGATTCCTCAACTTCACTTTCAGATTGCTTGGCATTCTCGTCCTTGATATCAGTTTTGGCATCCTCTACAGTAGATTCATCCTTTGGCTCATCAACCTTGTTCTTGAATTGGTTATCATTCTTATCAATTTGTTCAATTTCCTTTCGCGCAACACCACTCTCTTCAACCTTTTCTGAAGTAGCAGAACCAGGAAGAGGAACCAGATGTATCGCAGCAAAAGGATTAGAAGAAGGGGCTGGGGCAGAGGTAGGGACTGATGGAGTTGATGTTTGATGGCGACGAACTTTAACTATTCTTCTACTTGCCAGAACCTCGTCACTAGCCTTTTTGAAACTTCCTGTCTCTGGTTCAGAGGTTCCATCATCATCAAGACCAGGGTTATCTCGAGATAATTGCACCCCGGCAGCCCTCTTTTTTGAAGGTTGAAAATTGTTTTCCTCATCCCCCATTGCAGATTAACAAAACAAACTTGAAGGAAAATTTGCTTCCTCCACAAGCTGGAAGAAAGTGATCTCTTCAGTTAAAAACATATGACAAAAATCACAAACTAAAAGGACATTATAAATGGAATCAAACGTTGCTGCTTGACCAAACAGATGCTAGGAAAGACATTCTATGATATAAGGCAAATACTTATGTAGGAAACAAACTATAACGTGAAACTACATGATCCAGATAATCAAATTAGCACTCGCCCACAGATATAAACAAGTGAAACTAGTCATTAAGTATGGCAACTGTTAATTCATTACAGAAAGTATCCAAACATGCGCCAAGCAAAAGGGGAGAAAAAGAAAAGGGAGAGAACAATGTGCAAGAGTAACATCAATGATCTCTTGTTCTTTGCTCATTGAGCTAATAGACACTGATTTTATCAAATGAAATTAGGTAAGCACAAACTATAGAAGTTTAAATTGGTGTCTAAATATAGATTCATAAACACTGTATCAAACTCTGGTGCATGTTGAACACCGAAACCAAAAGTTCTGTTTAAAAGTCATGTTAAACACTTGGGAACCAGACACCCAGAATCATGTTTTAGAATACTATATTATGTAGTCCTAAAAGGGAAAATAATCAAAACTCCCACTTCCATATCTAAAAATATCATCCAAAGGTTTTGTAACAGCAAAACACTAGAATTGAGCAGGTACAAGGCAATAATTTACCTAAAAATGACTGCGATAAATCACAAGCACATATCCAAATCCCAAGCTTCATTAAAAGATAGAGACCAACAAAAAGAAAAGGAGAAAAAAAATTGGAGAACTTTAAGTCCATGAATTTCTAGCAGTAAATATTTCACCAAAATTTTATTTATACGACTATCCAATGCACAACATGAGCTTCAAAAAATAATTGACAATTGAAATATGCAGATTCCATCCGGCAATTTGTTTCCTTTCTCCACACTCCATAATGCTGGCAGGCTAGGGAAACCAGCAAGATATTTTAATTTCATTCTTACACATCAACGTGATCTCACAAGAATTTAAAGAAGATAATTAGTTGACAGAACATAAAAAGCTCCAACTCGGCCTAATATACAAACAAACTGGTTGTTTTCATCAACATGGCACATCTCTCTTTCACACTGAGTGGAATACAAATCACAACAAAGTGTTTCAAGTCGTATACTTTTTGGTAACTTTGAATTTACAACGCATCTGAATTCCTGATAGAAGATTCAAAATAAGAATGCAAAGACCACAGCAAAGTTTCTGAAAATGTGCAGTATTTCCCAGTTACATGAAAAAGAAACTTGAGATGTTACTTACATTAAAAATGAGAAAATTGGGATGGATGCACAAGAGAAGTCTTGTACGAAGCTGCTAGGTTTGCAAAGGGAAAAAAGAAGATGTAGGTCACTGTCAGAGCTAGCTTGTACTAGGATAAATAGTATAAAAGGGCCGACTCCAGGGTTTCCTCAAGAAAGAGGAAAGCTAGTAAATAGCCGGGTAAGGTTTCCCACCTTGGTCCACAGCAAAGTTTCTGAAAATGTGCAGTATTTCCCAGTTACATGAAAAAGAAACTTGAGATGTTACTTACATTAAAAATGAGAAAATTGGGATGGATATACAAGAGAAGTCTTATATGAAGCTGCTAGGTTACCAAAGGGAAAAAAGAAGATGTAGGTCACTGTCAGAGCTAGCTTGTATTAAGATAAATAGTATAAAAGGGCCGACTCCAGGGTTTCCTCAAGAAAGAGGAAAAGCTAGTAAATAGCCGGGTAAGGTTTCCCAACTTGGTCCACATCCACTATTTTGATTCTTTTAAGTTGAAAGCAAAGAATCGTACAGTCCTTTCCTGATTTCGGACACAAAACTAGACATTCTGAGATGGAAAAAGTTATTTCGAAAATTCTAACAAAAGAAAAAAATATATAGCATAGGAAAGAGCTATAAACTTCAGATTAGTATAAACAGATGTTACAGATCACAGATGTAGTGTAAATAAAATAATGAACGAACCATAATTGCAGTACAAACCAAAACAGCAAGCAACAAATACAAATTAGAGACAATGAATAAAAAAATTATATCTTACATGTAAACTATAAAATGGGATAAACATAGATGACTAATAGAAAACACAGGATTACATAGGAATACAAGAATGAGCAAGAAGTAGGCATTCAGAAATGCCTCCCTTCAAACAACAAATTACAGTAAAAATTACATTTTCAAGATTTTTTTTTCCTTTTTTCTGGTTACGTAAGTCAAAAGATAGCAAATGAATGCATGAAACGACCAACTGCAAGCTGAGAAGGATGCCGAATCAAAACTAAAGATGAACTGTGTAAACAACCCAAAGCAAAGTTACTATTGGTTAGCAGAATCATGAATATAAGATCTTTCCGTCAAAATGTGATTTGAACACTTCCACAACAGCTTAAAAAATTAATAAACACATAACATCACCATCCAGAGAAAGTCATAAAGTTATCATGATCTCACTTGCTGTGTATAAAATAGTAAGAAAGAATCGCAAAAGAGGATTAAAGAACAAATTAAAAGCTAAAGTATTAAAAACAGAGTCTAACAAGTCATTTATTTTCAAAGAATAAATAAATAAAAGTAAAAGAGGACAAGAAACCACATTAGAAGCTAAAAGTATTAAAAACAGTGTCTAAGAGGTCATTTATTTTCCAAACTCGACAAATAAAATGATCACCAAGACATATGATTCCCAGGTACAAGTATCCCAAAAATAATGGACCATATTAATTCCCCAGATGATTTTCCCACATCTTCAAAATATAAGTTGTTAGCTTGCTCACCAAAAAAATAAAGTGGTTAAAATGATTTCTTGACAAAATTTCAAAAATAACCAACTCCCTTTCAGGTCAAATTTCAGAAAAGAAAAAGGGAAATCACCACATTCACATTTGTTATCATGCACTATACCATTCCTTCCATAGTTACACAACTTCCTAAACAAAGTTCATTTTTATAAAAACTATTTATGATCACCATTCCCAAGAATTAATCCCTATATTTAAAATTGAAATTCAAGACTCAGTTGGGAAAAACCTGAAACATTATTTAACCATCTCCCTTATATCTAGTAAGATAAAAATTGAAAATCATTACAACGAGATTAATCTTTTCTCATCCAACCGACAAATTTTTTTTCTCACTTTCCACCAGAATCCAATCAATTCTTAAATTTAAATATCTTACACCCCTAAGACACAATATCAGCGCATTCAAGCACTACGCTAGTTTAATTAAAGTAAAAGCAATAAAGAGAAGATTCCTTAATCTCAGAGATGTTTAAAAAAAAAAAAAATCGAAAAAATAAGATAGTAAGATCCAAAGTAACATTACAAATTGCTATAAGAAAAATACCATAAAAACCGTATATGAAAAAAATCAGATACCTGAGAGAACTTGGGATTTGATTTTGGGATTCGCTTAAATTTGAAGCTTCGGTATTTGATTGAGACAAAACCCTAAGGCCGTGAAGCGGAAAGAAGGAAATGAAAGGGAATATATATGTATAGTACGTGATTGGTTTGATAAAATTATTTTTTATTACATTATGATAAAATAAGTAAAACTTATTATTCAAAAGCTTATTTGAAATTGTAAAATATGTAATTGAAAGTATAAGAAAAAACGAAAACCAAAATGAGACGTAATAGAGTGCGATATTTGCTTGTGTCTTTTTCATCATTTATTTTCTTATCTCCTAATTGAATAAAGTTGGAAGGAATTTAACTAAAAATGTCATATATTTAAATAAAAATAGATTTACAAAATAAAACGTTGTATCACGTGAGTCTATTCAATAATTTAGTAACTTTTTTTTCTTTAGGATTTTTTTTTAATGACTATAAGTGTCCGGACCAACTTACGCTCACATCAACTAATTCCACAAGTTCTTGAAGTTTACAGTCGAATAATCGCATCAGTGGCCCCGAAAAGACTCGAATTGGTGATCATTGGGGAGCAAACACAAGGTTTAACCACTGAGCTATCCCTCGTGATTTTCTTTAGGAATTTTAAAGAGTTAAATAAAAAAAAAGGATGTTATTATATTTGGTTGGAGGTGTATCCACTTACGTCATTGAGTCGACTCGGATTGAGCTAATTCATTTTTGCACTTTTTTGATTTACTGGTGCCCAAAAAACTTGCAATTGCCATTGATCGACTTCCAATTCATCGCCTAATTCATACACAAAGCAATAACAAATTGTCCATGAAAAAATATCAGATAAAAATCTCATGGCACAACAATTTGTCCAAGAGTAAGTGGAACAACGTATGGATGATGGTCTCATTTTATATAAAGAAGGTGAACTAGGTACTCTTCACTCGTGTAATTTTCTTCATGATCTTTCAAATCTCATCAATGTTGGTACTCCACGTTGTACGGTTTGACATATAGATAATCGAGAAAAAAAATAAACTACTACAAATTGATTTTTTTTGAAGGATAGTGACTTTACAAATAATAATTATATAAATTATTTGGTAGCTAAAATATTGCTTGTAATAATTTTTTAAAAATCTATTTTTCTTCACTCATTTTCAACTATATTTCTTCAAAAAATAATTTCATATTTCCCATTAACATTTTCCACTTTTTTAACTACACATTCTCCTAAAAAAATCACTATTCACAAAATTTATTCTCACAAAATCAATTTCACACAGAGTAATTATTTTTATAAAACGCGGTCCATTTTGTGAAATTTCATTAAATGTCAAAATTAATTTTATATATATATATATATATATATTAGGACCTGCTTGGTAAGACTTAGTAAAAAAATCTGCTTTTGACCTCATTTATTTTCCAAACATTTTGCTCAAAATAACTTATAAAAGAAACTGGCTCAAAGTGACTTTCAAAACGCTTTTCTACAAAATACTGGAGTAGAAGCCAGCTAAATGAGCTCTGATCTACCTATTCGTGCTAAAATATTTATCTTTTGCACTTTCCATTGGAGATTGGAAACCCAAATAACAAAAAGATCGGTTTATTGCAATACCAACAAACAAAATATAGTTAGTTGACTGACATGAAACGGTGCTACATGTTGAACGACTAACAATATCTTACACAAGTAAATCAAAAATGAGTTCGAGCACATAATTAACATCATCCAATGGATCAACAAAGTCGAACATACAATATGTGATGGGTGAAATCGAACATACAATATGTGATGGGATGGGTGAAAATTTGTAGAATTGTAATTCCTACCGTCAACGATGTATACATTTCACAGTACCACATTATATTTCTAGATAAAATTGGCATCAAAGAATATTGAAAACTATAGTGAACTAAACTATAAGGTGTAGTTTCAAACAGTACAATGTGTTCAAAGAGAAAATTACTTCCGCTACAAAATGGCACCACGCTATCACAGGATCACCTGGCAAAAGAAAATGAATTTAACGTTCTTTACAGGAAAACAAGGAATGAACCCATGTGACAATTTAAATAGATGGTAACGGAAGGCAGATACAAAACCATTTATCTGGACTATGTAGTACAACTCATACCAGACATACAAGAAATTAAGTGCAAGTTTGGTATGCAATATTGGATAGGTCTAAATAGTATAAAAAACAAACAATCCTATCAATCAAACATACCCCAAGTGCCCCATTAAAAAAAATCTTGATTATAAGGCCAAAGATGAAAATTAAGTGAAATTCGCAGAGCGAAGGGTCATTAGAATAGAATTTCTTAACTTTTTTTCGAGTTGCTTACAGATGCAAATACATTTCTAGCACAAGCAGAAATTATGAAACACAATTTTTTTGCAATAAATAAGAGAGGCGGCAAAAAATATTTAAATTCAATTTACTATCTTGATGCAGCTGACAAAATCAATGAACAAGCAATTGTCAGATCACCAAAACAAAGCAAAAAATTTAGAAAGTACATGCATATGAGATTACTAGAAAAAGTACAATTAATGGCATGAATTCCATGTTACAAGAGAATCCAAATAAGAGGCATTTGAACTTCTACTAAATGGATGGTTCAAAAATGAGCATCACATAACTTCAATTCCTCACCTTAAGGAGTCTCACAATCAACAGGTTCCAACAGTCCTGAGTGGACCTAGTGATGTGGTGTAAGCACTGCAAACACAAGGCTCCGCCATTATTGTACTTGGAAGTGTAAAATCAAATTTGATGCATATGACCAAAATATAAAACAAGTAACATAAGAGAGGAAAAGAAATTCTACAAGGCATGCTAAACTGCAAAATGAGTTCATTTTAAGGCACCATATCAAATTGAAGCACCAAGTGGCGACTGAGAAGACATAGGATCTGATAAAAAGAAATCTACAAGCTTTAGAAATAGAAAACAGAATCAAATGGACCAAGAAAAGCTAATTTTCCATCTACTGCAGATAGATCATAATCAAAATAAATGATTTCTTGATGAAAAGCATGCTATCAGATACCATTGTAACTTTAAAATGTCTCTGTTAGTAAATTTTCACTGTAGCCTTTATTGGACTGGGTTTTATTTGAGGAAATGCACTAAAAGCACAAAGGAATATATATGAGTATAAATGAAATAAAAATGTAAATAATAACAAAGGGAATCAGCATGCAACTAAAAGAAATCCAATTAATCACCAGCAAAAAAAACTAGAATTTCACACTGGCCCAACCAATCGCTTTTAGGCTGACCGTTTTCCTTCATTATTCGTACCCCACTCTTCATCAGCCTCATGAGGGTTAACTAATACAGCACCATCTGTTGAATCAGCATCCACCACAACAGCCTCTTCTTGGCCCTCCTCATGCCCCTCTATCTCTGCGTCATCTTGCACCACCTCTTGTGCCTCTTCTCCATTCTGCTCTGCAACCTGGAGAAAATAACAGAAACCAGCACTCAACACCAACTTGAAGATCGAAGAAATGAACCACAAGTAATCTAAAACCACAGTTTGAAACGTGAGGGCCCAAGTTACTTATGTAAGAGACAAAAACACCACATAACAAGGCATTATTAATTGCAGGTAAAAATTTGCAAAGCAGACAAAACAAAAGATAAAGAAGGACACAAAAGCATCAGAAAGTGAATGCTTTGTTTCTTCATTTTGTTTCCCAACAACATATATTCAACTGAGTTATTTAAGCTCCACCTTTCTTTCCTTTGAATTTAAATCCAATCAAGTAGAGCACACACTAAGCCGTTGTTTGATACCCATTATTTCCAAAAATACATTTTTCTCTCTTTTATTTAACCATACATTCTTCAAAAAAATAATATTACACGCAAACCAAACATTTTTCCTCATTTTTTAACCACATTCTCCATCAATCTACTATTCCAAAATGCATTCTATACCAAAAATGGGGCTCAAACAGGCGCGAAATTCAATTAGTTTATTTGTATAACATATTGGCTTATACCTCATGATCCATGCTTCCATTTTCCAGAGGTTCTTCTCCGTGCATTTGCATGTTTCTAAAAGTTTCCACAAGGCTTGCTGTTGATCTATCAATATGCTGTACATATTCAGCTGCCGGCGGATAATTGCTCCTGCAATGTTGAAAAAAGGTTTCTGTTTATTCCAAAGCATACTCTTCAAACATGTCCCATAACCTCAAAGTGACTAACTGAGATGACAAAAGACTCCAAAATGAAAAGGAGACAAAATATAATACAGCTAACTTAAACTGAATGGTTATGAGCTTTAATGGTGTTCAGGAACGAGATAAAAAGCAAGAGATATGACAATTTTAAATCAAATGCAGGACTGTGTGTAAATATACACAAGTAGCTTTATCAAACAAGGCAGGAAACAAAAGCCATAAATAAACACATACAGTGTCTCAGCAACTCTAGATTCAACATCAAGTGCAATTTGCCAGTCCTCAAATAAATTCGGATATTCTTCAGGGTCAGCCAGAGATTCGGCTGCTTTCTGATTAATCTGCAAACCACATAATCCAGGTGAAAAGAACAGAAAAAGTACACTGTACAATATCAGAAGAAATGTACATTTCATATTATTAGTTACTTCTATGAAATAGAAAGTGTATCCTTCTGTGCAGGACTTATAATATTTTTTCCTGCAGATATTCCTTGCCTTTAGTTTGAAAGATAAACCCACCCCTGTGACTACCCTTAAAACTAAAGGGAGGTTAACACATTTTAACACAACAAAGTAATTATATGAAACTACAATGAATACAAGAACATATGATGTATGCGACCTTTTCTCATCTGTTGGTCAACATATATGGAGTTTTTATTAACCCGAGTATCTGATATTATATTTTAGAAAATAGTAGATATATTTAGAAGTTAACAAATTGATCTAGGTGAAATTTTGCCTACAAAAGTTTTTGAATATGAATTTGATAAATCTTATATATTTTTATCTATGTGAAAGCTTGTAAATTTTTACTTTCTAAGAAAAAAAATAGTGAATTGAAGGTTCCTTAATCAGAACATTAGATGTCATTATTTGCAGCAAGGTTCTTAATTGTGCCTTATCCATTAGTTTCACAAGTTTTGCAAATAGAGAATAATGCATCACTGCACATTATAACAGGCACTAGCCAGTTCCAAACAAGCACAAGATCATAACTGAACTATAACCTTATTGAGGTCCTTCCTCCAAAGAGCCACAATTTCTGACACTTTACTAGGAAGATAAGAACGAGCCATCAATGCTGCTTCAGGTATCCGATTGCTGTACGGAAATTGTAATTCAGAAATTATCAGAGTCAAAGAGGTAAACCAGCCAGATAAAGTGACGGCAAGAATTACCTGTCAACCAACAGCTGAAGGCAGTCCTCCAATTTACCCAACATAAATAGACAGAGGAATGCAACATTGTTCTTCCCATGCTCTTTGGCAAGAGATGCAAGTTGAGTTATCCCATTGGCATCACCCAGAGAAGAATATAGTAGCAGTAAACCACTCAAGTCATTTGCTTGCTTTAAACATTCCTCTGCCATCTCCAACTGCAATACGACAGATACAGTAATAAAAAGAATTTGAGAATGAAGGAATGGAAGCATTTCGTCTCAAAAAAAAAAAAAAAAAAAAAAAAAA